AGGTTAATACAACACACCACGTCCTGGCACGCTACATTATGTAATTAAAAACGGATGTTATTAAACGTAACATTTAATGAACGATGTATTAATGGATGTCATGTGCTCTTGGAGTATATAATTGAAAGACTTGTAGATATTTGACACTTAAAAGAAGGATACCCCAGCTGGAAATTGAATCCGATACCTTCCGCTATTCATACTTGGAAACACGCGGGGTTTCATATGATTGCATTGCATACAAAGAATTGTAAATACCGCGCCTGCGGCGCGTACGTTGCTGACATATGTGCGATCACCTTAAAGAGCACTTTTTTTTCCGCGCAGTGGTACAGTGCAACTCAGTAGCCAGCGTAAAACACATTACTGAGCATCCCTTCGCGCTCCGTGAAGTAAATTATTTCCATAACACTGCAGTTAAGTATAACCACTACTTTTATTGTACCTCGGGTTGAAACAGTTCCTTACCTACTATTTCTAAAATAGTTTATAATTTTATATATGAGCCCTTTTACAAAAATTGCGCCGCTGTCCTACTGATCGGCGCGGTGGTAGATTTGCACTAGTATATATTGCATTCTACGGGTGATGTTTTGAGTCTCATAAAATAATTATTAATGAAGTTAATTTTAAAATATATACATATTTCAGTAGTACAATGATGGTAGATTAGTTTTATAAAGGTTTTTGATAGTAATTATATTTAATTCAATATCAAAATACGAGGTAAACCTGCATTATTTTTTGGGAAAAGTCACGGAGGTTAGATGTTGTTTTTGATAATTAATGATATGGAAAATCAAAATTCTAGTTATGTTACAACAAAAACATATTTCTGATGTCGTAGTAATTAATCTGATCTAATTATTGAACATTATTGAGAGATTGAGGCGTTTGAAGTTGTGCATGTTATCGTTTTTTCCGTAAACTAGCTGCAGTAGAACGATCAGTACAAAAAAAGGAAATACTATTTATTTGCAAATATTCTACATTAACTTACAATAGGAAGAATAAATTTACTGTTTACTTCTATTGGAAATATTCAAAATCTTTTCTAAAGGTGTACGAGGCGCTCAAAAATTACGATTTTTGCAAAATATGTGAAATGGCTCTTAACATCATGATGGCGACTGTTCAAGAATGCTTACCAACTTCAATAAAGATTACTCAGTACTAGGCTGCAAAAAGCCTAGAATGGTTACCCTTAGAGATGTCATTGATTTATTGCTTAATTTTAAGTTTAAATAAAGTGGATTGAAGAAAGTCCTTCTTTGCAAGTGAAATAAAGTTATAACTATTTCACATACAATAAAGAAACGGCAGTAAAGATATTTAATGCTTACATAATTTAAAATACATAGGTGTTGTATTTTGGTGTGCATTATGTTTGTGACTAATAGCACTGAGTTGTCTGCTCTTCTGTTTCTCTCAAAATATGTTATTTTTCATTTACTAGCGGCCGCCCGCGACTTTGTCAACATTACCTTTAGATTTTTGAGAATCACTCAGGAACCTAAAATTTATCTGGATTAAAATATTTTGTCTGGATCCAGGTAATAAACTATATGTGAGCCAAATTTTATCCAAATTTGTTAAGCCGTTTGTAACGTGTTAAAAACGTCACATGAGTTTTGTTTGTTGGAGAGAGAGATAGAAGGTCTCTGTTTAGGTTGTTACACTGATGTCATTTACCATAGATCGTTTTGGTTAGTCACTGCGTTTTTTTTTAATTTTCTGTGACTTAACAAGTCTTCTAGACTGATTCCTTTGATTGCCTTTTGGAAGGAACAAAATAAAGAAAATTTTAACGTCACCTCACGACGTAATTTTTTACCTACAAGATGAGAAATTAGTAATCTCTATTATTTACATGTTACATTTGTAAATGCATTAGACATAAGTTTGCTGTGGAGATTGTAAACGTTTTTTATTATACTTCAGTGAATTTTATATTGGATCATCAAATAACCCTTTGTCATTACATGGGAGCGAGGCTTCAATTCATACATTCAACTCAACACATAACATGTGTTTTTATATTTTTTTTATCGCCCTCGCTTAACCTTTTGTCATTGCATGTTTATTGAAATAACAGGGTAAATAATAAAAACTATAAATAGCCAAAACTGCATCTTGTTATTTAATTTTGAAACATTCCTTTTCATCGCGATAGCCGCTTCAGCAACTTCTGACTATATCATCAATTTTTATGTACTTAGCCGTTATTAAGACTTCTGACAATTTATATACAGGTTTGATAAGCAACAAATAAAATAAAAATGCATTTGTCAGAACTACACCTTGTGGTTTAAATTTAAACAATTTCTTTACAACTTTGTCGACTTCTGACAGTCTTTAAGCCCTGACCTAGACTTCTGACAATAATTTTCCTAGATTTCTACAATTAAAAACTATAACTCTACCAAATTTCAGAACTACACCTTATCATTTTTTTCTTACTGAAAATTTACGATTTTGTCCGCCCACCCACGCCTTCCGCCCCTGGAGAGAGTTCTGACGGGCCTTGCTCTGTACTTATAAGCTACCAAGGAGACGTTATATATATAATTCGTTACTACACCTTATCAGTTCACTTTTTCGTAGCCAGCTCTTAGACCATTACCCTTTATTGATGTGTAACATCTTTCCTCTCGCTTTCCTGCAATTTGTGGGAGTGATTTCGTGAAATGGGACGGAAGTGTGTAACAGGAAGTCGCGAAAGCGCGTGCTATTTGATTTGATTTTAGAACATTATTCCTTTTGTAGTAGGTTTTATTTCTTTTTTTATATGGTATGTTTTCCAATTTAATCAAACCTTACAGTAAAATACTCCCCAGTAAAATTTACTTCCCCCTTTTCAGCCCATTAGGTGCAGAGTTTCAAAGAACCCTGATACATATTATTCTTTATTTTGGGCGCAAGTATAACTAATTAGTTTAGAGTTAATCAAAATGCGAACTAAAATTCATCCATATAAAAACTTCGGCACCCCCCATTCCCCATCCTTTAGACTCCTAAATATTATAATTTATATATTTAGGTAATAATGTACAATTATTTTAGATAGAATCAGTAATATGGAAAATTCAGTGCACACTAATTATTATTAGAAACTTAAAATTATAAATAAATCACCATTAGAGCTCATTTGCAATAGTAAATCCATCATTAATAATCTGACAATAATAAGCAAATTATGCAATATTAAGTTTTAAAAAATCTTTCGCATTAGCAAAGCTTTGCAACCCAGTTTGGAAACCTGTTTGTATTTATTTCATATTTAAAAATGTGACAAGTGGTTTAGAGTATTTTCATTATGGATACAGAATTTTAGGATATTATTTAGTAACATGTATACATCACAACATAATAAGAAATAAATGTTTCATTTTTCTTGAAATATATTACCTTTAATAAAAAAAAGTATTTTTATAGTACTGATTTAATTAGGAACTGTAGTAGAAACACTAAAGATATATTTTTTGAATTAATTAATGTTTATCTATATGATGGCTAGTACATCTTGGAATGTTTTTATAAAAAATAAAACAAATGATGATTATTTCTAACTTTTACAACCGCTCTTAGATATTTTTACATTAATCAACCTTAATGCTATTAGTTTCTTGAAGTAAAGATACTATTCCGATCTCGGCTGTAGTCTGTAGATTCAGGCATCACTTGCAGTACCTGTAAGTATCTCGGCTGCGGATACACTACTGATTTGCAGATACAGTACAGATGCATATAAAAAATTGTGAATCGGCAGCCAGGCTACTTGCAGCATATGCAAGTGCAGCCTGCAGTCAAGTTCGGAATTGTAGTTTTATAGTGGTGATAGAATTTAGGCATCATTTTGACAAGGATTAAATCATTAGAGTTGTCAAAATATTATCTTCTAGGATTAATTTTCCTTTATCTTACCAACAGTTATTTTCTTAGGCTGCTGCACTGATAAATTATTTCTGATTAAAAAGAACAGGGCATAACAGATTTTCAACCAAAGATAAAGCACCCATATGAGGCAGTAAGCTCTACCACAACCTTTGGATGGTGTTGTATTTCTGTTAGTGAGTAAGGTTAAGATTCCGCAGGATTGAGGGCAGGACAGGCTAAAGTGGCCGCTTACAATTAGGCATGCAAAGTGCTATTTGTTGCCTTTTTAAAACAAAAAAAAATATGATGCTGCATGAAAATCTGCTGTGTTGTTTTGGAGATCATTATGAAAATAATTAGATATTTGGCACAAATGGTTTATAACACGAAGTGTTATTAGAAAAACCGTAAATAAGAAGAATTGGAACCTTAGGTTTTTTCTTGTATGGGAACACAAGCACTCCATGAAGATATATATTTTAAGTCTTGAATACACTCGAAGTCGCAATGATGGCATTAATTGGTTATGAATTGGAATGTGCTTTGAAAAGAAAAACAGTGCAGTTAGGAACGTCCCAAATGAATATTATTTATATATATTATTAAATAAAAGATAAGATTGGACTTGTTTGTAATTATTTCAATATCCATCTAATGAATTCACATAATATCAATTTAAAAAGAAAGGCCATTTAGTTTGTGTGCCTACTTTCTTATTGCGGAACAATGATGTTAAAATTTTACACAAATAAGAAAGTTAGTTCAAGAGATAAAAATGTGTTATTTTAACACATTTTGATTGGATACATCTATAATATTAGTACCAGTTAAGTTCCTAATTATTTATAGAACTAAACTTTGTTGTTATTGTTATACCCCATGTATAACAATATTAAAATATATATAAAAAAAATTAAAACATTAATTTCAACACAAGACTGGAGATGAATTTCTTAATTGATAATAAATAAACCTTGTTTGGAACAAAACAAAGCTGGATGAAATTGTACAAAGGGTGATTAGGTTTTTGTACAAAATCTAAATGCATTGTTTGAAATTAAACAGGTGAACAGATGAGCACAGCAGATAGTTTTATGAAAATCGCAAGTGCATATGTGACTCACCGCTGTGCTCGGTGAATATGTTGGAACCAAGAACGCGGGGGTCCTTTGGTACACGGGGCTTCGAGCGAGCCGAGCGCATGGACGCTCCGCTCGCGGTGCCGCGCTCCTTCGCCTGCTGTGCCCCCATGCTGGACACGACCTCACACCGCCACCTTCGTTAGTATTCTGCGCTAACCTCCGACACGCCGACTCGCACTAATTCAATAAAATCTCAGACAACGCAATGTTCCTACACTCCATCCCCGGTTCACACGGTGCAGTCCGCGTCGACAGTCTAGTTTGTTTGTTGTCAAACAAAATGTCCTTCAATATGCAATGTACATTTTCACGGTATTGTTTCAGCTGTTAAAGCACTACCGGGATTGTTAGCGTGTAAAAAACAACACAACCTCCGCCATTAGACGAATGACTGGAGATCTGACTGACATGTTCATGTTTGATTGACGTCGATTTTTTAGTTTACGCTCGCTGCCGCTAAGAGCAGCACAGTCGCTTAAACACAGATACAATAAAGTACATAAGCCAATCAGAAAGCTTTATGGCCATAGACAAGTTTTCTTCATAATAGACATTTATTCATCAATACATTTCAATATATTGATATCGATTTTTATTAAATTGAATACATATTGGAGTCGATTCTAGCAAAGCTAAACTTAAGTTCGACAACAGTGTATCCTTGTCATTCTCTATACAGAAACAGGAGAGACTGATGTTAAATTTAGTTTTAAGTTTAGAGAATCGACACCATTGAATGTTAACTCGATTCCGACATAACGAATGAATGCAATTTTACTATCTTTATGTTGTTAAACTTACCTATAATGATACAATTTATTAATTATGTAGTCCTAATGGAACTGTAGTCACTGCGACCTACACGATCTATTGTGACCAACTGAGAGTGTCTCTTTTAGCTCGACAGTTTCAAATAAGTTTAAAACATTTCTGGCTTATAGAGATTTGATTCCTCTGGGCGTGTGATATGTCGTCCCAAATCAAAAAAACTTTATTTCTATAACCAATATTTTGCTAGTGATACAATATTTAAAAAAAATGGGTGCGTGCACTTATGTAGGCGCGTGAGAAGTTATCCTTCTTTGGCATCGTTTAAAATTAGTTTTTAATTGCATGCAAATAATTAATTACAATAAATTAATAAAAAGTCTGGAAAAGGACACAGTCAATAAAGTTCAGTTTTAATTTGAAAAAATAAATAAATAATCAAAATATTCAATTAAAATCGCTACTGAATATAATTTATTAGAACATATGTGATTTGCACTTGTATGAAACTCAAACACGTATTCCGAATATACAAACTAGAAACATGTGGATAAATATTATAAATATGAATACCTATAACTGTTACTTTATTACAAAAAATAAAGATGTGGTTTTTGGTTCTACTACACCAATGGTCAAGAGATGGCGCTGTAGTCTCCTGAATCGCGCTTTGGTTCCGTTGTTCCAGATTCATAAATACTTTTGATAGGCCTTCACAATGCAGTCGTTAGCACCCACAAAATAGAGATTCTATTTCTATTTTGTTGGTAATTTTCTTAATGTGCGGTAAACACAAAAGGCTTTAGCGACCAACTTCATGCTGTTAATTTTTTGTGTTACAGTGATGCGCGCGCATCTTAAAATTTCACTCTCATCATTTTTTCATAACGCGCCTAAAGAAGTATAACTTCAAAAAACTTGTATAAACCACTCGGCACGAAAGTCGTCATATATACGAATACTTTATTTATTTAGTTTATCAATGCAGTCTTTCACCAATTTCGTCCATAACATGTTCAAATTAATAGCGTTGAGAGCTGCATGGCTATCTGAAAGGTCATATTTTATGACCTGATGGTTTGTGTAGTTTCGTTGACGATTGTCTTCTGCACATTTTATGATAGGAAAACCCTGTGCCTTGAATACAGCGGCTTGTTTTTTTGGCAAGATGTGGTGAAAGGAACCTCGTCCTTTCACCACATCTTGCATTTTTGTCGAAGATATGATTTACGTAAAACCTTCTTGTTAGCGCGAGTCGATGGTATTTCTCTATGTCACCGTTACTTCATACTGGGACTTTTGCTAAATACGTCAACGGTGTCTACCTATAAAATGTGAAATGTGATTGCTACTACATTAACTAAATATTACGAGCTGATGGTCTTTCCTTTCTACAATCCACATCCTCAACATGGTAGCAAAGGAGCGTTGTTGAATAAAACAAAATTAAATAGAAAGAGGAAGATAAGTGGAAATTCTTTGACAAGGTCAGTACCGAAACAATAGGAGACGTAAGATACCGAAAATGGAAGCAAAGTTAGAAGTAGGCATTTAGATATTTGATGGTGCAAATTAGTAATAATGGAAATTTAGATTAAAGTTCTGTTACAAATTAAAGAATACCAAGAAGCTGTGGAAAATAATATGAAACATGAAGGTATGACAGACACGGAATGGAGAAAAATTGATTCTGGAGGAATGGAGAAAAGCAAGAAATATATATGTGAATAGCGTAAATAATACTCAGCTCGATATAATAATGAATGAAAGTGCGACTTATGGGATGATTAAAAAATTGGAAAGTACTAGAAACAAAAGTCAAAGATGGCGACGATATAGTTGAATTTATACAAACATTTGAAAAAACAAATCAATGAATTGAAAAATGCAGGAGAAGTCGATTCGGAAGAGGATAGGCTGAACTATTTATTGCTTGCATTACCTGAGAGTTTTGCACATATTGTAAATATTGTTTGTGTAGTTCGTCGTTTGTAAGATCGGACAGTAGAGTGCGTGAAGTCCAAATTACTACTTGAAATGAAAAAAAAACAGAGCGAACAAGAAGGTCATACGTTTAGTTGTCAATCAAATAAACACACATATGGGTCCAGGAATAATGATAACTGCTGTGAATGCAACCGCCCAGGACACTACATGAGGGATTGTCCTAAGTTAGCACGTCGTGGTAAAGGACGTGGATATGGAGGCGGACGACGAGGAACTCACAGAGGATATAGAGGAGGATACAACAATAGAAGCGTGAATACTAGACAGAATAGCAGCACCAGTAATGGATATGGATTTCGTGGTAAAGGACGTGGATATGGAGGCGGACGACGAGGAACTCACAGAGGATATAGAGGAGGATTCAACAATAGAAGCGTGAATACTAGACAGAATAGCAGCACCAGTAATGGATATGGATTCTGTTGTATAATAACTCTATCATCTATTTATGTTTTAATCTCTTTATAAACAAAACATCTTTAAATATGTCAAGTCATCTCTTTGACTATGTTTTTCACTGGTTGTCACTGAAATAAACATCATGTTTACAATTTAACGTGTTTAATATTATATCATTTGTTTGGCGACGAGGATGTCGATAGATATTCGGATTAAAATTATCAAAATTTTGTTTTGATAATTTTAATCCGAATACGGAAGAATTATATTCAACGTTTCAACATTGAACTTTCGTTACATGGCCTACTGTCAGATGAACATGAACAAAAACGTAAAAACATTTTACTTTCAAGAATTGGTCCAAGTCCAAGTCCGACCGATTGATGTCACTACAAAGTTTTAGTCAATTAATTAGCGTTTTTACCGAATATTTTGGTAAGAAACCATATTTTTATCGGAACGCGTTGTTTTTGGTACACGTTATAGAAAGGAAGACGAAACAATCTCACAGCAACTGCGTTTCTTGGCTGGATACTGCAAGTTTGGTATTAATTTAGATGAAAGTTTAAAAGATCAATTTTTAATTGGTATAAACAATCTCCAATGGCAACAAGAACTTATAAGAGAACACCCTAACAATACTGCAAAGTTTGTTGATGTAGTCGGGATGGCTACTAAACTGGAACAAGCACTTATACAAAGCCAATAAATTGGTAAAATTAATGCAGATCCGACAGTAAACAAAGTTAGTCAACAGCAACGAAATCAGAAATTTTCTGTCAGCAATAGACTCGACCAAAATTCTAATTACAAAGTATGCTTGTTTTGTGGTCAAGGACCTCACCGGAGGGATAGTTGCCCAGCAGGAGCAAAAGTCTGCAAAGCCTGTGGAAAAGAAAATCATTTTGCTAATGTTTGCATTTCAAGTGGAAAAGCCAGGATAGAACAGTTTAAAGCGAGAATGTATCGTACTCCAAAGATGATGAAGATGGAAGCGATGACAGCAACAAAGCTATATCCAGTTAATTCTACGAATTTTTTGATTACAAAAGTCATGATTCCAACAACACTTAACAATCTAAGTAACGAGAACAAGTGGATAACGAACTGCAGCGCTTAGTCAAAGAAGGAATTATTGAACCTGTTAACACAATGGAAACCCCTATAGAGTGGGCGTCACCTATCGTCGTGGCTATTAAATCTAATGGAAATATTCGCATTTGTGCAGACTTCAAAGTCACCATCAACTTTCATGTGCAAATTGACGACTACCCTCTGCCCAGGTTTGAAGAAGTGACATCAAATTTAGCAGGTGGACAGCTCTTCACGAAAATTGACTTAAAAGACGCATATCTTCAACTTATAGTTCATTCTGAATCAAGAAAGTATCTGACGATCTCGACACACAAGGGATACTTTCGCTACAAACGCCTACCATTCGGTATATCTTTTGCACCTGCAATTTTCCAAAAAACTATGCATCACATACTTAATGGGCTTGATGGTGTTGTATGTTATTTAGATGACATTTTAATAACGGCCAGTACGTTAAATATTCACTTACAACGTGTACAAGCAGTACTCCAAAGACTTCGAGACGCAGGAGTCAAAAGTCAGACGACAAAATGTCTATGGCTACAGGATAGTGTTACATTTCTTGGTCATAGGATTGATAAATATGGCTTACACCCCACTGATGAGCGAATTGAAGCAATACAGAAAATGCCTATTCCTACAAATGTATCCGAACTAAGATCTTTTTTAGGTTCTATAACATATTATGGTCGTTTCATTAATAATTTGCACGCACGTTGTGCACCACTTTATAGACACCTAAAAAAAGGACAGAAATGGATCTAGACGCATGATAATTAATGAACTAAAACACACTTTAACATCTAGAGACACTTTAGCGCATTATGATGAAAGGTTACCTTTATACTTGAGCAGCGATGCATCTGACAAAGGTATTGGTGCAGTCCTATTTCACAAAAAAGACGAAGTTTTAAGACCAATTGCGTTTGCTTCAAGAACCCTAACAGATATTGAACGACGTTATTCAACCATTGACAAAGAAGCTTTGGGAATAATTTACGCTGTGACAAAATTTCATCATTACGTCTACGGTCAAAAATTTACCTTGCTAACCGATCATAAACCACTTGAAAGAATATTCAGTCCAAACAGAGAAACCCCTAAAGTTGCTAGCAACCGACTTTTAAGATGGGCTAT